AGATCCTGAATCATTATCATTGATGTATACATAGTATGCTTTATCAGTACCTGTCCAGTGTGAAATGGATGGCCATTTGATCAATAGATACAATAGGTTTAAAGGATTGTTCCTTGTGACTAAACCTGATGATCTTTGATGGAGTGTGTGGATTATTAGCTGTCAATACACGAGTAATCTCCTCCTTCAGCTCCTACAGCAAAGTAACTATGAATTTGACTAGAAAATGCTTATTTCTCAATACTGATAAAAATCCAAATATTATTTTGTACATGACAGATTCACAGTACCTGTTCACTCAGCTCAAGTTGATCGTCAGGCTTGACTAGCTGTGGAGCAGTCATCCATTCAACATGACCTTCATCACCTTCTCTAATATCATCATCCTACACTACACAATAACACACAATAGTACACATAGTTTGGTATAACTCTCTCTCTCTCCCTCCCTCCCTCTCTCTCTTACTCTTCTCTTAGGTCCTCTTGATGGAGCATGAAGGCGTCCCTTTGAGTCCAATTGTGTACGGCTACCAATATAACTCTGTGAGATACGACGGACACTAGGATTCTGAAGAGCAGGCTACATATAATGAAAAAATTATCATTATCATTCTTTCATTAGTGTACATGTGTTATACACTGTACAAGTACAACTGTACCAACCTTTGATTTATCCTGCAATTGCTGCTGCTTGTCTTTCTGGCCTTTCCCTCCTCCTTTTGCTTTCCCTTTTCCACCAGTACTCATCTTTTTCTCTCTTTTTCTACAAAGTTTCAGCTGGGCCTGAGCTTCCCTTATTATTTATTATAAGTGGTTGTCAAGGTAACAAAGTGACCACACCTGTAAAAACATGGCATCTATAACCCACCGCCCACTTTAAAACATGGCGGTGTCTCCACTCGTGTCAACAGTTTGTCTACGAGAGCGTCTCCTCAATGGAATGAAAGCCAGTCCGAGAATAGTTGATGGTGAGTCCATTATCATGTAGATCAGTTAGAGAGAGAGAGAGAGAAAGAGAGAGAATTACTATTAGTCTGTATCGTCCTACTCATGATAATATCAGTGATTATCCATGCTGGCCTCGATGCTGGCAGATCAGTCTATTGCTTCTATTACATGTATATCCAGGAATGATCAGCAAATAGAGAATACGCGTGCTAAGTATATTCATAACTTTTAAGTACCGTATATCCAACCCACACAGTAAATTGGCTACCATGTTGGACGTCAAGTTTATTAAGAGTTCAATGGGGGAAAACACATTTTCTTGCCTTGCTACCTTCTTGAGGCCTTTTTCGGAAGCTTAGAAAGCATACTCAGGATCTAATGGGGTCTAGTAGTCACCTGCAAAATTGCTATTAAGAAATACAGAGCAGTTTCCTGGTACCAAGCCTTTTTCTATCGTTTCTCCATTCCTGCCAATGGAAAACTGACATCCAACTAACTAATTTTTTTTCTTGAAAGTTATTACAGTATGCAATGAATACATTTATTTTGTAATGAATATACTTAGCATGGATATCCTCTATTGATTCAGACATTAAGTTTTTGACATGAATAGTCCGCACCCCTCAATAATATTATTGCTTTAGCCTTTTTTGTTGCTACCATAATAAAGAACTTTTGTGGGCAAATAGTCAAGCTGCTTAATTTGGCAGTTTCATTACTGTGTCTTTTATACTGAGGCTTTCCAAAAAATCTCCCAATTACAAAATTAAATGCTCAACCAAACCCTCTCTTTATCATGCACTAGGATCATCAGGAGGACGAAGCGCATTGGAAGAGTATAAGGAGAGAAGGATAGGAGAGGCTGTGTTCATTGACATTGATGAATTGTCAGATCAGAATAATGAATTACCTCATATGCTTCCATCAGCAAACCAGTTCAGTCATCATGTTGGAAAGATAGGTGATTCTACTGATGGTTCTTTCATCAAGAGTAGGGGCCACTGATGAATAGACCAGCTTCCTGTGGGGGAGCAAGTAATTAATTTAAGGAGTTGAGTAGTCAGCACTCACGATGAGCTCTCCTTGGCAAGCGATCGTTTGCAAGTCACCACCACCTCCATGATCCACCTCCATCTCCAGTTTCGACTAATTAATTACTAATAATAAGAAATTATTCAACTATCACGTGACAGGTGCATGATCCTTTATCAACATCCCTCTCTTGTCTCGCTCTAACAAATGGCTGCTTCTTACCTTAATCTGTTGTCATCCGTGTCTAAGAGGCTTCCTTTACTTCATCAGCCGTGTGTTTCCGTCACCCGACGACTCTTCTCGTCCGAAATTAGTGACTTGTTCTGTAGCGTGTTTGATAAAGAATACAAGTATCAATGGTCTGTGAGCGAGTACAATTTAAAGGAAGACAGGGTCCAGTTAAAGTTGTTGAAGAATCTGAAAGAGAGGGGGTTGACAGAATTATCTGATGAGAATCATCATCATCATGACATCAAATATTTGGAATTGAAATATGAACCATCAGGTGACCCTTCTGATACCCGTAATCCTTATCGTTTTCTTTATGTACGAAATTTCTACAATCGATTATTTGAAGCCATGTGGGCAAATCGAGGCAATGTATTATTATTAGGTAATCCTGGTGTATCTAAGTCATGGTTCCAGTGGTACATAATGTACCGGTTGGTCAATCGTAAGGAAAGAGTACATTTATCTAATCCTCCAACAGTTATTGCCCGTCAACTTGGTAACGATTCGCTAACCTTTTTCTTTCCTGATAAAGACAAGGTGTACACATCAGAGATTTCATTTGATACACGAATTCTTAAACGTCTTGATTCAAGGAAAGCGGTATACCTGTATGATCCATATTCGGTTAAGCAAGAGCCGTTGATTACCCATCTTAAAACAGTCGTGACTTGTTCACCTAATCGAAAGCACTATCATGAGTTCCGGAAGCGTGGTGTTAGTACTTTGTACATGCCTCAATGGGAACTTGACGAGCTTCAGGCTGTGGCATGCCATATAAAAGGGGAAAGTGGAGACGATATGAAGGACTTACTTAGTCCTGAACAAGTGGAGGAGCGGTATTATCGTTATGGAGGCATAATAAGGTATGTCATTCCAAGCGATCCAGCTTCTCTTGAGGATACAGAGCTCTTGCAGAAGGATGCTTTGTCTAACAGAAGTACAACCGATTTATTTCTGCCTGGTGCATCCATAGAAAAAAGAGACGAGAGCAAGCGGAATATTAGTCATTTCCTTTTGCAGTATGTAGTTTCCTTTCATAAGAAAGGAGAGCTTGATAAAAAAGAATTTCGTCACTTTAGAATGGAATTAGCTAGCCAATATGTGAGAGAAGAAGTTTCACAAAAACAACTCACTACTAACCAGTTCCAGAAAGTACTTGGTTATGTTCAAGAAATGTTTTTGGGTGCAGGCAAGCAAAGACCAGATGTGTTTGAGTTGTTGGTTTTGCAGGCTCTTTTGAAGGATGATATGGATTGGAGAGTAGTTTCTTGTGATGAAGAGAGTGCTCGTGGTAAAAAGAATGTTCGTCCTGTGTCTGAATGGCCTAAGTGGAAGCCTAACCTTACAAAGTTGGTTCATCTTCAGAAAGGAAATGAAAGTCATCTCGAGTTGGATTGTAATACATTGTATGTGCCAAGAGATTATGGATTCCCTGGAATAGATATGTTTTGGATTGAAGAGAAA